CTGTATTCTCCATTGTTGAATACAAGAATTTAAAACAAAAATAATTTTTTTTTATATCTACCATATAAAAGAATTGATAATGTTACAAATAGTCACGCAATTTTACATTTGATCTACCAATGTATATATACTTCTCTATAAGTGCGTATATATGTATACGTTTGTGAATGATATGACTAATGATTTCAAAATAAACCATAAAAAAGCAATAATGAATTCGGTGTCAGAATCAACAAATATTTCAATAAGTTTATAATCATCTTTGATCGGGAGTCTATAACCCAAGAGGGGGTAACAGATTTAAATAAATTAACAGTGAACAATTACGTTGGCTAAGTTTTAATTCCCATGAAATAGAACAATTGATTGTTATTTCTTTTCTTTTCTGCTCATTTCTTTTTCGACTGTTTTTATTTATATCGAGAAATGTGTTATATTTCTCTTTTTTTATTGCTAATTAAAACGGAGACGAAATGTAGAAGTGAAATTCATGAAATGGAAACAAAAAATGAAAAAAAGAGCAATTTTATTGAGCACATCATCACACATTTTGAATTACATTTGACTATTTATATTTCAAGTATAATATTTTTATGTGAAAATTTTATCGCTTATTTTCTATACTAATTAATGTTTACTGGGGGTGTTCAACTGTAAATATACAATTTGAAAATAATTTCAAAGAAATGATGGATGGTGGCTAGTAGTGAAATCCAGGACGCGCGTTTCGTCTTAATTGGGACTCATCAGCTGGATGTACTTGCATCTCAGAGTTGCTGTTCACTCTGGGACTCGAACCCAGTACTATTAGCTTCAAATGTCATCGCGTTATCCACTCAGCTACTGAGTCCTGATAGCCACTTGCTTGTGCAATGGGGTGAATTTAAATCCACTTGGTATTGTTTAGCTTGTATCTTCTCATTGATCAATTGCAGTCTTAAACCTCAATGGGAAGATATAAGTCAAACAATACCAAGTGAATTTAATTTTAAAGAAGATGTTTAATATCAGTGTCTGTTTCGCAATTGGTGTCCTTTATTATGATCTAGGAGAATATGCAATACATATGCAATACAACTAATTAAAAATAATTTCATAAATATATTGAGATATTAGTCATAGTAGGTGCTAATTGAAAACAACTTATACATTTATTACAAGTTTACTATCTTGAAAAATACGCATTTCGAGCATCTTAGTTTTTATATACGTATGACTAGTACTTGATTCTATAAATTGATTCCTCATAAGCGATAAGTGTCTTTTTGAGGATGTAAATATATCTGAAAGCTTATAAAGTAGATTCATTGATTTTTATTGATTACCAATCAACAAATTTCTATCATATCTGAAATTTATCCATTTTATAATTGGATCTCGTTACAATTTTAGTGACAGACAAGGGTTTTCTTCCAATATAAGTTAATGTTAAATGACCATGGAAAACCTGGAAACACTGGACGGCCATTTCATTATAGTATGAGGCTCATTAGCAGTGTGCATCCACGATCCTGCACGCGGGATTCGAGATTTTGACCTTCGGTTCGGAGTTCAATCGTGTCATGTGTGAGGCAATTACACACCAAAGACAATGAAAGATGATCGCTCAGTACTGTGGATTAGTCGGATTTCGAACCATTGGTATTGAATTTAAGACCGAAGGACCTGAGTTCGAATCTTGCGTACGCGGTCGCGTATTAGCACTGCTGAGTTCCACACTGCGACGAAACAACCGTAGAGTGTTTCTAGATTTCCAATGGTGGTCTAACATAAGTCGGTTCATGATCTTAATTAAAACACAACAACCTTCACAACCCTATACTGACGAGTCAATTTAGATTAACAACTTTCCTACATAATACTCATGATTAATGAATATTAAGTTGATCAAATTCTGACGTCTTTATGAGTCATACTTTTGAAAATCTGTAACTAATATAAATTGATTGGATTTGATTCTCATTACAAGAAATTCTATGGATTTTTTAAGGGTAATTATTGTTTTCATATTAGTTTATATAAAGCATAGTTTACGAACAAGTAAGCTGGTAATTAAAAAATATGTATTAACTTATTCTAATACTACTAATATCAATATCAGTACTACTAACATATTAAAAACTCATAACTGAAAATAGATATCTTTGTTGTTTGTTGACGAAGACACTTGGTTTTCTCCTACAGAAATCGCTTCAAATAATTTTCTTATTGCATTTCGCTTACAAAATGTGTTCCATTATTGTTCATTATCAACTTATTCACATGTTATCAAAAATACGAAGGTAAAATGAATTTCCTTAAAATGTTTGACATAATATTATGAATCTTTCATTATTTTAGATAATCTGAATAATAAGGAATTATGCAAAATTCACTTGATGTTGTTTTACTTTTATTTTCCTATTGTTATTTAGGGCTGTAATTGATCACTCTCATATTGGCATATGTACATCCTGTGTGGATTGCCTCGATATATCATGTACATCTAGTTGACAATTCTCAAATAGGACGAAATGCGCGTCCTGGATTCCACTGCTAGCCACTATCCATCCATTTTTGAATTATGCAAAATAATCTCAACCATTCTGAAAACTACTTATAAAATGAGAAAGTAGTAAATTATTCATTATTCTAACTGTTTAGTTTATCAACTAAAATGCAGTTTATTAAATAGTATCTGTGTACAAATAATAATAATAACTCGAAGTGTAAACTTTTAGTCAATCTGTGAAATTTGAACTATTTATTTATTTATATGGCTAACTGTTAGTCAGTATTGTTTATTTTTTACTCCTTGAAATGGCGTTTGTTAAAATTAATAAAAACCAATTATTCCAATCAGTATTTCATTTTTCTATTCCTTTTTTTGTTGTTGTTGTTTAGATACTAGTGATACTGATGTATTTGCTGTTATCAGACAATGACAAGGGAAAATTCACCTTAGCTACAAACACGTGACTTTAAGTAATCATCTATTTATAACCATTATATTTTAGTATATGGTTATTCTGACAAATCTGTGAATATATAAGCATTTATCTGTGTATAGATGATGCATTTATAATACGACAATAACAGTAGGATGCCTGATACTCGAGATTAGGAGTGACAAGTTGATAGGTAGTGTTATTATATTTATCTTCTCTTTAAAAAAAATTTTATATATCGGATATATTCAAGTAATATACAGGTGGAAAGTAATTTTACTTTAGGGTGGATCAGAATATATCCCCTCTGAAATAAACAAACAAACAAATAGTTGCTTCACAAGATTCTGCCTAGATTTTCATGTTTATTTGTAGACTGTAAAAATAAAATACTAACAATAATTAAAAGTATAAATATATAACGATTTTTACTGTAGGTAGTTATTATTCTCTATGAGGTCAGGTGAAAAGATGACACTTACCAAAATTGTCTAGGATTGAATATTTTGTTTTCTAACATTGAAATGTGTCAAGCGACAGTTTATTTTTTTTTTTAAAGTATATTTTTATACACAATCAAGTCTAATATATATTTTTTGTAACTGCACAATTACCGTATTTTAAATCAGTGAATGTTTTGATATATCCACAATAGAAAAAAATACATATTTACAAAATCTTGATGTGTAAAAGTGAAATTCATAGCAAAAAGGACTATCTACTTTAGTTTCATTACATATATATATATATATATATATATAGAGAGAGAGAGATTTGTATTAGAAGAGAAACAGATTAGTTAAAGGTAGATAAATAGGTGAAGAGAGTATCTATGTTTGTCAGATATATAACTAATTTTATATAGAACAAACTTATTTCGAATATGATGCTCCATTTGTTTTAATATTGTCAAATTATCAATATAGGGTTGTGAAGATTATTAAGTTTTTGATTGAGATCATGAATTGAAAACCTGGAAGTACTGGACGGCTGTTTCGTCCTATTGTGGGACTTCTGACCAATGCTCATCGACGATTACACTCGCGGGATTTCAATCAAGGACCTTCGCTCTCGCACGCGAACATTTAACTGCTGGACCACTGAGCTGGTATTCAACGGTGTTAAATTAAAAAAAAGCATCCAGGAAACACTATGCGAGTATAATCAAGGATTACTAATTGATTCTACATTTTTTTATTAAATTGAAGGTAAATAAGAATTAGGCTGACGTTTTTATGGACAATTCAGTATTTTGTAGATAAATTTTGTGAACAAATAAATATATTTTGAAATTAGCTTTATACTTTATGTAGCCATTAGAAGTAAAAAGGTTTTCAGTTATATTAACATGACATGAAATCAAGTATCAAATATTTCTAAACATCCCACTAATTATATTTCTACTCATACAACATTAATTGATAAGCGAGTAACAATCAATGTCCTGTTGTTCAGTTCATAGTGCTGATCGAATTCCGTTGGAATATGGTAACTAGTCTACGCTGTTGATGTTAAGTAATTGTGGAGAATGGCGAGAAAGCTCCGTATCAGAATTTAATGCTTGGTGGCAATTTTAAATAAAGTGCATCTGTAATATGTTGGCAAATGATGGTCCCAGTGAACTTCAAACTCGCATTATTCTGTATTACACTCAGAATCATTTCAAACGACGGTATTTAAACAGAGGGTAGTGTTCTGACTGTGGCTATCAATCTTTCACATTAAATTTAATTTAATATAACTGCTTAGCTGAAATGCTAGGAAGGTCATTAAATACCTTTAATATTTGAAGCTGACATATATTTAGTTGGTAGATGTTAATAGGGAAGAAAGATAAAGAAACCACAATCGAACATTCTATGACCAGTGTGTAGTAGTATGGTTAATAAGGCTAAATGTTTATATTTATGGATGAATTATCTGCCGATTCCCATAAACACTGGGCAAAATTGTCATTTAACAAAGATTATGTTTGTAGATGGTATCAAGATATATATTTGGGATACATATGAAAGATTGTTAACAAAATATTAATAATAAATGCTTTATATATATAAATATAGTGTTACTTACCAGAGAGAAGAACCTCCCTTATAAGTAGTATAGTCCAAAATACAAAAGCTTTAATTGAAAATAATCTCCAAATCATTTTTTCTTCTTGAATTAATTACAGACTTAAGTTTGTAGTTCAAATTGTGATCTGTAAAGAATAAATAAAACAGCTTTAAGTTTATTGACTTATATAAATCAATCAGATGATTTCGTTTTAGAGTTCAAGTGTTATGTATAGACTGTAATGATCATGGTTGAATTTAAATACAATAGCATTTCATAATGAAATTCGACAGATAAACAGTTATCAGGAGTAGAAAGATTTTAGCACTAAATGAATCCAATGCTTTCAATGATTTTAAATTTTTATATATAGCTGATTGCTTTATTTATCATTCCCCTCTTTAAAAGAACAGACCTGAGTGTCTAATGATCATATTAGATGGAACTCGAAAAGTAATAAGCTTTTCAGTCTTTCTCAGTTCGAATACACAACTCAAAGATAGATAGATATTTCGTTCATTGGATTTTCTATTCATTACTAATTTATATTACTCAAACTTTATTAAATCATAGTAAAATCATATTGTTGAATAGCTTTTATTTATTTATTTGTCATTTGATTGACAGAAGGTTTGGGTATATAAAAAAAAACAGATTTGATATACTGGTCATTAATTTTAAGCTCATTTTATTCAATTTTTAATTAATAGAACTGAATTAATAATAATAATAAGACATACTGGTTAAATCATAAGTCTATTAAGTACTGAGTAAAAGACTTCAACAATGTTGTCAATTATTTTAGATTAAGTGTTCCGATATTCTTGTTAACCTTTCACACATAAAGTTACGGTTTATAGTCGAAACTAATAGTATGAACTTAACTATAGAAGAGATTTTTAAAAAATTAATTACTGAATTAAGTAATCCACTTACAGATAAAATATGTATATTTTTTATTGGGTTAAAATGTGACTTATCAACTGGTTTCCTCTATCTAAATACATTTTAAATGAATTCACTATCCAGTAGATCATTCAAATGTTATTAGGGTTACATAAAATCATAGTTTCATTAAGTAAATAGGGACAAAAGACTAATAGCTTAATTTGTAATGACACTAAATGTGTTATATTTGATTGAATACTCACACAATATCCATTTCTTTTTTTACTTTCAACACAGATTGTAAAACTTGCATATGACTTATGAAGTAATTAATTTACATAACTCTTTACAGCATTAAATACAACTCAGTTGTCTTAAAAGTATCAGCTAACCTAAAGTAAAATTTCAAGACAGAATAGTGTAACTGGATTTCAGCTACATCACTATCAGGTTCATTTAGGCAGAGGTGAATTTATAATACTGTACAATTTATAATACGTACAAGCCAGCCTTACACACGGCACTCAGCCTCAGTAAACTTACATGGATTGGAGTACTTAAAAGGAAATTAGTGGATCATTGTAAACTTTACTGTCGATTTTTTTCTTTTTTTTCATAAGATTATATTGAATATACTACTGTGTATTGCTAATTGTTGTTGACTGACTTCAATAGTAGAAATACGTTCAATTAATGTGCTTGTTTAATTGTTGATCCATGCTTTCTCTTCTTTATTTTTACACTTGAAAACTATCTTATTCACATTCTTACAACAACATACCTGCAAGTTAAACTCAACCACGTCAATAGCTAAACGTTACACATTGATATATTATCTTTTTAGTGCAGCTATTACAAATTTAAGAACTTTAACTAATTTTCGTTTAAAACCTTTGGTTTGTCACCAAATCAGCTTGGAGTTGAACCTACGTTTGGGAAGTTATGATAAATCTTCGATTGGTGATTGGTAGATATACTTTTGTGTTTATGATATTTATCAGTAAAGGGTTTTATGGAGATTGCAGAATTTTCGAAGTTCGCTTGACGAACTGGTCAACTCTGTATGACCGTTTCGTCTTACTATTGGTGTTCACAATGGCGCTCATCTACAAACCCACATCTGAATATTTATTGCAGGACCTTCGTAGTTGAACCATGCTAAGTGTGAGATAGTTTTCTGCCTAAACAAATGGATGAGGGTTGTGAAATAATGTGAGTAGATACCAACTCAATGATGTAGAGGTTAAGCTCATCTGATGGCCCAACATTTGATTCTCACGTTCAGGGTCGCGGAAAAACACTGCTGAGTCTCGTACTAGGATGAGATGGTTGTTTGATACTTATAGGTTTTTAATGTTTATCTAACTAACGTCACTTCATGGTTTAAATCTTAAAAATTCACAGTATTCGCACAAACGTATAATTTTAGCACATATATTGTTAAATAAACTCTCCTTTATGGGTCATGATCAGTCCATCATATTTGATTACATCAGCTTTTAATTTGTAAAATTTACAGCAAGCTCTTATTGGAATATATATATGTCAATCTCAATATATTATTCGTTAAGTTCAGGCATTATTATGCTATAATCAATCATTGAGGTTATACATTCAGATTCAAATTATTTATTTGACCTGTTGTAATCGAATTCATCACGTAAAGGTCATAGGTGTTAAATTACAAAATCCTATATCAACAAACTTTTGTTATGAGTTCAAAAACACATTGAGTTCAAAATCCAGTTACTAATTTAAGGTTAACTTGACTAAATTATTGGAAGTTCTCAGTTACGGATTACTTGTTTCGCGAAAAGTTCAATAGTAACGTTTAAGGTAGTAAAACTGGATGATTCAAGTTCGAATTCCGTATAGAGCATCTGCTCCCTTTATAATTACATATACCTACTATTGAGGCCCCCAAATGCCCTGGTACGGCCGAGAGTGGGGAGAGTTCGCTCTCCCTCTCGAAATGCTCTCACACGGCCGCGCGTATTTAGCCTCTGCCAGGGAAGTCCTACTCACTGCCTTCTCGTGGCGGGGGTGTTGTTTACGAAAATGAGAGGACGAAAAGCGAATGTCAGGCGCTTTAACCGGATCCCAAACCAATGGTGCACATGGGCTCCAGTATCCTGCGGGAACAAATGGCGTATGAACCAATTGTTGGTCACCGGCTTCCATGGGACTGCATCTCCTTACGGTGCTCCACTGCCTTGTGGAACAGATCCTCAGGTAGAATGCTCGGGGTGTGGCCCCCTAAGAAAACCACCTGCTTCGGTCTGGGCACCCGGGCAGTATCACAGCCCTCACACATATCGAATGAGATTTGTGTGGCGCATATGTATTTGGTGCCTCGTTGTACCAATATCTATGTGTTGAAATAAATAAATAACCTACTGTTGACAAGTGCCAAACAAAACCAATCCTAAGTTCAAAGTTTTCTGTTTTCCACCTCCAACCATTTAACAGTACAAATTGATTTGAGATAATTACGTCACTTTTCGATTTCACCAACTAATTTTCATCACAGACAATATTACTCCTTAAAGCTACTGATCCCTCAAAATTTAGCACTATAATCATCTGTTTTGTATAGACCCTTAAACTACTACACATTTGTTCTAGACACTCCAAAGTGGTTGTTGATGACATTGATTTTACAATCACATGGAACATTTATCTACATTTAACTACTCATATTCACCAATCTTTAATTTTGATCTACTTTCTGCCTGTTGTGTTTTCTGGTGTTTGTGAACGTATGTTTAGTGATGATAGAAAGGTAGAGGGAAACATCAAATATTAACTAAATCAAACTCGATTTCATCAAATATCAATTAAAGTGATTTTAATAGTCAGAAAATCCGTCAAATTTTTGGATTCATGACATACACACCATGAATGAATGTTTCATTTCGAAAATTATCTTTTTATGCAATCTAAAAGTATATACACGCATATATATAGTAGAATATAGTCTAATCTAGCAATTAAATCATTTCATCTAAGGCAAAAACACATATTTTCTTGATTAAGAAACATCTGGTACAGTTAAATCCTTCAATCATGTCAGTAGGCAAATCTACAATGTACTCAGTACTGAATTAACCACAAGAGTAATGCAAAAAGAATGATGAAATGTGCATTCGGTATATAAATTAATCATGTACGAACAGGTTCACTTTAGTTATGTATTTCTATGTAGAAGATAGAATCCGTTTATCAGAAAACTATATTCTATTCTCTGTTGTGTATGCTCAATGATCCGGAAATTTGACTGACAGTTTAGATCAAAAAACAAAAAAATACAGATACTCGTCAAAAGTGTTATTTGGAAAATGAAATTATAGTAATAATTAACCTGAAGAAAATTACTGTGCAGATATTTCTTTAAGAATGATTATGTAAATCTATCATTTCACTTTTCCATAAGAATTATTACCATTATTATTATTGTTCATTATTATTCTGTTGGTTTTGAATACCCTAAATGCATATCATTCACTTTTGATGGAGTTTTGTTTTCTGAGCTAGATGCTTTGGTCGTGGATCGTTCATCATTCTTCTGAACGACATCATCAGCAGAAACTTCAGGTAGAAGTCACTAATTATTCAGATATTACTGATTTACTGATTATTTTCATCGTTTGTAACTTATTTTATCAAACTAGAAGAGTTGAACTGTGAGAGAGCTTAACTTACACTTACTAGTAATGTTTTATTCTTTATTTGTTTATTATAAATAGAACTGTCTGTAATGAATTTATCCTTATTCATCCTTTGATTAATACAGTTTATGAAGTGAATGAATGGATTTGTTTCCTAAATATTATAATAGTTAATTTGTTAAGAAACTTGTAATTCCTTAAAATTTAACTTAGAGAGTATCTTGCTTTCCTATAATGGAGTGTTATGTAATTTATTGTACTGGAAGTTTCACATCACAAACTGACTTTGATCAGATAACCACTGAAAAACCAGGAAGCATTGAATAGCTGTTTAATCATAATAAGGAACTTTACATATTAATGACCTCAAAATTTATCACAGATCTTCCTCATTATCTCTATTTTTTACAGTTCACGACTAATAATTGGTCACAGTGGGAGAGATATCTTATTTCACTATATCTATTTAAATCTTGAAAATCAATATTTCCAATGATACATTTTTTGTTCATTATTTTCCAACTGAATAATGGGTTCTTTAATATCCATTAATATTAAAACTGTCGTGATTTCAGCTAACTGAATTTTATTATTCATTGATTTGTGGAGTTCAAGTATGTTGGGTGTGAGACAGTTATCTACCGTAGGTAATGCAAGATGGTGGAGCAATATCATGGATCGATAAAATTTAGACATGTACGCCATTGGGTGTCATCCCAGCGGTCTAGATGCTAAGCACCCAATGAGACTGAAGGTCATGGGATCAATCCCTGGTAAAGTTATGGATGTTCAGTCCCGATGAGTCTCGTACCAGGAAGAATGAACTGTTCCATTCTTCCTATTTTCACTGATGGTCTAGGAAATATCAATTCAAGATGTAAACTAAGAATATCATTTACTTATTGCTTGGCAACTTGAAATGATGAATATTTGTGCTAAGCCGACACTAAGTGATAGTTGGTAAAAACAATGGACCGAAGTTGTGGTGTATGCTACTGATGTCGATAGATATAAGTAGTATGTACCATGAATCGAAAGTAAAATACCTGGCAGCAAAAAATTAAGAAGACCGAAGAAAAGAGGACAAGAACAAAGAATGACACGTATGTAAACGAAAGAATTCCAACCAAATGTTTCTAATGGCTAAAACTTTACTACGATACATGAAGGTCCTGGAGTCAGTCATTGACCAGGTCATCGGTGTACACTGAAATGTTCCATACTAGAACCGATCAACGGACTATCCCTCATTGAGATCATCTCTTACAACAAATACAATCTTGTTTCTTGAACTACTATTTTATACTTTTCATAAATTAGAACAAAATTAATGCGTATGAAGAATCGCAATAATTCTCTGATACATCTTGCTTGTTTTCTAAACATCTATCATAGCCTCAGTTTAGAACAAGCTAATATATCAAACATTGAAGTTACATAATAATTCGCTTTTTACTAATTTATTAATCACACAAGACATGAACAGAAAAGTAAATTTCTTCTAGTTTCAGTATACACCATTTAAAAGATATTCATTGATTATATTAGGTACTATACACCAACATAAGAACTAGTTGACTAATTTAATTCCCGACTATTAGTTTCAGTTTCTTCATATAACCTCAATCTTTAAACCTACACAAAAATGTTTTCATAACCTTTCAGTATTATCTTAAATAATCTAAGTTAGATCTATTGTTATATCATTGTTTGTTTTTTTTTCGATATAAAGTTTCACTTATTTCTTCTAATGGCTTATAGTCGCTAAATATAATCTTTTGTTTTGAACAATTGACACTATTAGTTAACTGAGGATTAACTTATGTAATATGATTCGTGTGTATTGAATGTTTACATACATAGTTAAATATTATCATGTTTGAAAAATACATATATATTTAAGTACTTATTAATAACCTTTGTATTAAAATAGATAAATCAATTTTGTTTTTATTCCGACAACACATTTATTTTTGGACTTAAGACAAGACAACTAACCGTTTAGGACAAATGAAAATTAATTTAAAGATAGTTAAATAATTTGTTAATCTTAATCCGAAAACTTTCTTCTTTTTTTATTGTAAAGCTTAGACAGTAATCATAAAAAGGATCAGTTGCTTAATAACAAAAGTAAATAAAAGTTATTTTGTATGTCTTTTTTTTTCATCAAAAATACTCATAATGTTTATTTATTTATTTGAACACATGAATATTGGTATAAAGGGGCACCGAATTTATATGCGCCACACAAGTCACTTGATTTGTGTGTAGGTTTTGATACTCTCTCGGTGCCCAGGCCGAAGCAGATGGTTCTCTTACAGGGCTACACTCGGAGCCTTCGACCCGAACGTCTAATCCGCAAGGCTGTGGAGCATCGTAAGGAGATGCAGTCCCATGGCAGCCAGTAACCAACGATTGGTTCATACTCTAGTTGTTCCATCAGGACACTAAAGCCTATGTGCACCATTAGTTTGAAATCAGGATTTTCCAACTCCCTTAGCTGGATCCTCCATATCCACCAACCCGGTTAAATCTCTAGACATTCGTTTTTCGGCCTCTCAATTTTGTAATCAACACGCCCGTCGCGAGGATGTCTTGAGTAGGACTTCCCTTGCTTTGGCTGTATACGCGTGACTGTATGAGAGGATTTCGAGAGGGAGAGCATATTCTGTCAACCTTCAACCGTACCACCAGAGCATTTGGGGACCAATCTGATGTCATATGTAACGATGTATGTAAATGTTTGGTGTTGACTTGGTCTCTTTGAAGATTATTTTTATTTCAGTATTAGAACACAAAGGAATTCATTTAAAATCAATGTATAAAGTAGTAGGTGTAGTGATAATCCGAATACTTGGAGTTGTTGTTTATTGATACATTGTGGGGAAGTAGTCTAATGATTTAAAGCCCTTGACCTTAAATTAATAAGTAATGGGTTCGAACACCTCTTTACGTGATTGGATCTAGCAATCACGTTATATTGCTAACTTTCACATAAATATTAAGACTCCAGTCCGATTATAAACACTTGTACTTGGTGAGTTACATATAGCAAAACATGATCTGTAATGTTGTCACTCTTGTTCATAGCGTCAGATAAATCACTTTTTATTTGTAGGTGCGAGTTTACTAAACTGAAAGAAACTTATGAAAAACATAACACCTCTCACTGCTTTATTTGATATCTTCATCTATCATTATACATGTGTTATTGACAGAAATAAATACATACTCATCTTGCATAATCTATTTGTGTCTTATTCGACTAAGGCAGAATAAAGGGAGAGAAAATCGAGTTTTCTATTTAGAAAAATCAATGTAATGGAATTTTTAAGGATTTTTCCTTGTCTAATTCTTCAAAAGAGACAATAAAATGCTAAAATAATTTGATGAACAAGCTGATAGCAATAATAATAATAATAATGATGAGTCAACCTAAGCAGATGAATTAGATAAACATGTTTGTGCACATACAGTGTATTTACATACAGATTACTGTTTTATTCATGCTCACGTGGCTATTATAAGTGGATTTTAAAGAAATGATGCAATCAAATCAAAGAAACCATGGTTTTTAATTATTTGCTTGGTTAACCAGTAAATCAATGTTTGAACTAATTACATAATTATTCTTCATCATGAATTGAGAACAACATTTCACACATTCGAAGGCGATAAGGTTATGTGACTAGTGTTTTATCTAAATGAAGGTTCATATATGTGGGCATCAGTTTGCCTAAAATTTTATTGTAAGTTTACTAGTCATTAAATGTATACATTTGGAAAACGTATCTTCTCTTTTATTAAAGAACAAATGTCCATTAATCATCTTTTTGTATTAAAACAAAAACAATGAAAAAATATACTAAATTATTGAAAGGTTAAATACGAAAAATCTTTATTCTTCGGTATGGTTAATTTGTCTAGAATTGTAGGAAATTATAAATTGCAGTTCTCCCAAATGCCCTGATACGGTTGAAGGTTAACAGGATATGCTCTCCCTCTCGAAATCCTCTCACATGGCCACGCGTATACAGCCAAAGCAAGGGAAGTCCTACTCAAGACATCCTCGCGACGGGCGTGTTGATTACAAAATTGAGAGGACGAAAAGCAAATGTCTGGATATTTAACCGGGTTGGTGGATATGGAGGATCCACCTTGGGGAGTTGGAAAATCCTGATTTCAAACCAATGGTGCACATAGGCTCTAGTATCCTTATGGAACAACTAGAGTATGAACCAATCGTTGGTCACCGGCTACCATGTGACAGCATCTCTTTACCATGCTCCACTGCCTTGTGGATAAGACCGTTAGGTCGAAGGCTCCGAGTGTGGTCCTGTAAGAGAACCATCTGCTTTGGTCTGGGCACGCAGAAGGTATCAAAACCCACACAGAAACAAATGATAACTGCTACTGCTCTCATTGTTATTGTGTGGCGCATATTTATTTGGTATTCCCTGGTACCAATTCTTATGTGTATAAATAAATAAAATAAGACGCAATCGACTAGATCATGGGATTTTGATACATAAATTTATGAACTCTTTGAATTTAACGTTTATCTGAGCGATAATGTAACTTGAATACTGCTTAAATGTATGTTGGTGTGGTGAGATTAGAATCTGTAATCTAACGATTTATGACTATGTACTTTAACGAATATGAATACTCTTCCCTGATAGTGGATTTCGAAATAGCATAGAATTGCACCCGAGGAAAATCCAAATTCATTATTTTAATTATTCAGCACCTAGAAATAAAACGTAAAGTAATAAAAATATTAACTATACAAATAGTATTTTTAGTGACACTGTCGTTTCCTTTCACTCAATTCTTTGCTATAAAAATATATCATAATGATTGAAAATGATGTAATAATTCTTCACTGTTTAGGCTATCGACTAATACCAAGCTCATTTATTAAATCTATATGACATTGTATGATAGATCGACTCCAACTTCTAGACATTGCACCGAGAATTCATATGTCATTTATTGATTATATGGATGATAATTGACAATGTGAGAAAGTATAGTCTAATTAGAACAGTGATGACAGTATATTTCTATGAGTACAAACAACTAACTCAAACATGATGTTGCTTGTTTTTTGCTCACTAAATAAATTACAGAAATATGTACGTGAACAATAAACATACTGGATGACGGATTCAATTTAAGCTGAATTAACTAAATTTCTACTTTTAATCATAATCAATCTGATATATTGCATGTACACAAACTTGTCGATAATAAGGTCTCAGATATTACACTGAATATTTGGTTAACTATATTTGATCGATTAGGCTGAATTGGATTTTGTATTTTTACCTATACATTTTACTAGATCTGTTAGCTGTATGTTTGTATCGTATTGTATACAAACTATTCAAGTGATGGATCATTGAATTTTAACTCTATAATCTACACAGATCATGTTTATTAGGAAATTTAACTTATCTAGGATCAATTGAATATAGAATTATACATCTTCAAATAACAAAATTAACGTATAAGATACATATCATACTTACCAATAATACAAAAGTGATATATTCCAAATTTTTGTCCAAATACATGAACACAATATGTTTGTTATATTAAATTGTAGAAGTAATTTACTCACTTATTATTATTCCAAATAGAAATATCCAAATAATGATATGATTTTGATGAGTGTTGTTTTCAATAGTAATCTATGTATATATATGTATAATTTGGGTTATGAATACAGATATGTAATTTGGTTTGGATATTTGAATAAAACTAATGAAATGTTACCAGAAAGAAATTATTGTTTACAACAGAAATAAGACTGTTCAATTAACCATCATCATCATCATCATCATTTTTCTTCTTGGAGATTGTCATACATTTAGTTTGTGGTCATTTTTTAAAAATTGTCTTTCTTATACTCCGCCTTTTTTCCCCTCAAAATATTTATTTTCTTCTTCTTCACTATAGAAATCTGTTTCTTTAAACAGACAATTATGTATTGATGATTATTTTTCTTTGTTATTTTTTTATTATTAACCACAGTCTAATTGTTGTTATGACAAAAATAAACGAATCATATATGTGACATGATTTCGATGGCGTTTTACAAATAAAATTTTATGGTTATCATCATGATTAATAGTGTTGTCATTATATTACAATTATTAATGGCGAGTTATATGTAAAGACACACATCAATCACAGACCACACATGCAATCATAATACAGCTTCTGTGCATACAATTTACTTTATTGTAACAATAAATAAATTGATAAGTTATATGAATAGATGGTATGATGGACATATTATAAATGGTTAGACTGAGTGAAACATACACAACATAAATAACTGATCAAATGGATGGACAGTTGTAGTTAAAATAGATGGATAGATTGATGAACATCATTTTGATTGAGAAGAAAAAGTTTAGTAGAGTGGTGAAGAGAATTGAAATGATTTACGGGCGGAGTAATTTCTTTGGATTGCTTCACTATTCATTCAATACAATTTTTCTTTCCAGACAACCTAGTTGATTATGATTGGTTAACATTATTTGATAGTGAGTGTTAGAGGTAGGAAAGGAAGAATGAAGAGAATTTTATAGTAAATGAATGAAAATCTGTACACAACGTGTGCTGATTCATGTTGAATGTTAGTGTTCACAACAATAATGATTAATAGTTGAATTCATGAGTCTATCTAAGTTAATGATGATTATATAGACGCTACACAAATAATTTTCTTTCATTTTGCCTAATGGGATGCTTCAAGTTTTTTTTTCAAATATCCTATAAATAATATCTTAATGAATTACACGTAGTTCATGATGACCAATGAAGCCTAACAAAAAATCACGATATTTGAGTCATTCATGTACTGATCATGTAAAGCTATGACCTCTGTGTTTTATGATATTATCAAAATACACAATTTGAAAGTCTACTCTCAAATCCTATTGATGGATAATCCATACAGTCATACGTATATTATAAGTACATCAGCAAGTGTGTGTATGTGTAACTTGACGATAATTATCTTGTTACTAATGTTTGACTTCGAAACAGGTTAGCAAAGATGTTAAACATGATGGAGAGCAATTGATTATTAAGTTGTTTCATACACTGATTGAAACAGGAAATATGGGTTATTAAGTTTTAAAATTAGGTGTTTAAAAATAAACGTACTAGTTACGGAACTGAACGGTAATGATTTCTATTTCCGGTGGTTTAAGTGCATGTTCCACTGAAGAGGAAACATCTATTCACCAATCCCCGATTTTATTGGTTTTAGGATTGACTTTCAATTCACGAAGACGATTATCTTTAGATGTAATAAGTAAGAATCTTTTAGTTCTTTCTTCACTTGTTTCAAAGCATAAATAAATCGGTTTAAATAACAATAATAATAGATTCGAAAAGCCTACATCAATCTTTTTATATTGCCGCTTATTTAGCAACTGAAACAAACTATTATAATACGATATTATACAATTTATTACCTTGGGATTTTTTAAGCAAAACAAATTAGGCCGTTTGAATATAGTTAATAATTGTGTTGATGTCTCTAAAGCCAGTTAATTTGACTTATTTTTTCCAGTTGTTTAATTAGTTACTTAAGAAAATGAAAGTTTGTCGAAAAATGGTAATAAGAATTTTTATCGAGATCATTAACCGACTTAAACTGGATAAAGGTTGAAAACTAGAAATCACAGGATAGCTATATTATAGTAGTATGGAATTCCTTAACAGTCCTGATTCACGAATCTATTGGAGATCGAACTCATAAACCTCAGGTCTCATGATAGGCGCTTTACATTTAGAGTAATGAATCAGGATCAAATGATTTAAATATACGACTTCAATCAAGTCACGCCAGTGTGTGACATTAGTGGATAACTCACTCAAATCGGTTGTGGTTGAACTACACTGCTAATGGCTTCTCATTAGAGTTTGTGGAATTACCTCTATACATTAGTCACTAGTGAGCACATGATTATTCCCAGTATAGTGAGTTTGTGGAGATCATCGAATTTTTCCGTTTACACCTCAAAAATCTTAGTTAAACAAGATGATTGTACAATTACATTAACTGGTTGAGGTTAGACATGTAAACTGTCAGATGGTGGCTAATTGGTCTAAATCGTTATGTGCCAGTCGTGAGACCTGAAGTTTATAAATGAGGCCATGTATCAGTACTTTTGAAAAGTTCCATGCTATCATGAGATAACTGTCCAGTGCTTCCTCGTTTTCATTAGTCGTCCAATTTAGATCAGTCAGTAATGTTAGCGATAAAATTCGGCGATTTACCCAAATCTTCCATAGTATTAGCAATTGAACCATTACTACAGAGATCCTAATCAATAGTTGACGGATTCAGTTCTTTACTTATTTAATAATAGTCATCGAAGTACGCTGATATCACCTGAAACACCATTTATAATTTAGTTAACATTGGATGAGTGCGTAAACACGGTTTGAATATTTTGATGGCAGATATCCATAACACTACATTCAATATTTGAAATCAGGATGATATGGTTAAATCAATAAGTAATAGCATTAGTAGTTAAATGCCTACTACTTTAAAATCATTTAAAACTTAAGTTGACTGCTTCTATAATCAGCTATTGGCCAATGAGCAGATGTGGCTGGTAGTAGAAACCAGAATTTGCGTTTCGTCCTACTTTGGGACTCATCGATTGGATGTGGCTGTATCCCAGATTTGGTGTGTCATTCTGGGATTTGATCCCAACACCGTTCGCCACTCATCTTTACTTATAATGCTTGTGGCTGAAGGTAGTATCAAGGCAATCTGTACAGAATGCACATATGCCAATGAGAAACTGATCAATTGCAGTCCTAAACATCACCGAGAAGATTCCAATAACCAATACACAAAATGAATTACTCTCTTATTTTCGCAATTTTTATACTTAAAAAAAACCCAATTAAATGAATATACCGTACAAATAATCATCTTCCGATATTAAGGTTACAAGATCTCGTGCCTACTAATCCCTTGGTATTTACCAGTATTCATCTTATTTTCGAAACTCAGTAGGAAAAAGTGAATAAGTCTTTTCATAATCTGGAAAATGTTTGTATCTAAGGTAAATCATTTGAAATATGTAATTAATCTACCTAGTGTACATTGCAAATTGTTTTAGCAAAAATAACTGAACTATCGTAAACTGAATAATACAAATCAGTAAGTTGTAGTGTATGTTTCTATAATCCTAAAGACATTTTCTATTACAAAACGACCAGTAAAAGCATGTAATACTCGATCCCTATTTTATTCAGTTTCTAACATCTTTATCACTTTACATTCAAGACAAACACTATGATAGTAAACATTCAATGAATGGAGATAAACTCAACGTTGCCAAGTCAATTAAGTATATCGTACTCGGTAATTTTAGTTATGTTTTCGCACATTTAGTCACCAAATTGTATATATTTTGGAGTTATTCCTATCATAAAATTAATTAGAGGTGTGATATATTTTATGCTGTTATTTTTGATTGACCATGACTGTCCAAGCTTCAATTGAGATGTCTGTAGCAGGATGGACTGAAATTTCTGTCGTTGTTTTTAGTATTTGGTAAGAAAGCATTTAGTGAATGGTGTAATTAATGAAAGGTTTGAGGCTTTATTTAGTTTTGACGGTTGTGCTTTGAACCAGTAAATCTAAAAAGAGAGAATAAAAGGGGACATTACCCAAAAAACGTATCTGAGTCTCATCATGCTTTCAAATATATTATCGATATGGACAGTTCAACGTTCGGTTTATCGAAAAAGTACTTGGAATGGCCTTTATCTGAATCTCAATAGTTTTTGTTCAATCAGTTACAAGAAGACACTGGTTAAAACACTGTTTGATAGAGTAAAAAGAATATGTACCATCGACAAACTGGAAGAAGAATTGATGAACGTTGAAAAATGCCTAAGAGATAACTGTTACCCGAAAAAAAATATTATTGACAAATATAAAAAGCCTAAAGAAAACAAGACAGAAGTAATTACGGTCAGTAAAAAACCAATATCTATAGATCTTAACTTCAAAGATAGTGTCGCAAACACAATCAGCAGGAGACTAAACACTGCGCTAGCCAGAACTTATCCGGCGGCCAAAATTTTGATTCTTTGTAAAACAACATGTTCAGTAACTCAACCAAAGGTTGACAAGCACCCCTTTCATGTTACTACCAACTATATTTATAAATTTACGTGTACCTGACAAAGCAGCTACACTGGCCGAACAGAAAGGAGGGCATATTTTAAATTTTATAAACATGTTCCAAAACGTCTGGGAACAAGAGAAAGAAAGACTCTGTTGCTGTTCTCCGTCCTGAATTTGAGGACCTTGGGTTTTCCTTTGTGTATGCTGAGGCCTACTAATGCAGAGACTGCTGCCACACTGGCTGTCTTTGTTTGCATCTGTTCGTGTATATGCGATAGGAGGGCTAGGTCATCTGCAAAGTCCAAATCGTCTAATTGATTTTGAGCTGTCCATTGTAATCCGTGTTTTCCTTCAGATGTCGAGGTCCTCATAATCCAGTCGACCACCAGGAGAAAAAGGAAGGGAGAGAGTAAACAGCCTTGTCTGACTCCGCCTGTAGCTTTTATGGAGTTACTGCCGGTCCCAAGCCCGGGTAAAGGAGTAGGGTTAAGCATGGGGTTAGCGTCCCCATCCTGTAGAAAACTAACTCGCTGAAAAAACAGTTACCAGAACCCAAACTCCAGTTTTCTGAAATTTGCTAAAGCCGTTGATTTCAGGCGTCAAAATCCTGACTTATATGTTCTAAAGGAGATGGTTATCTAGCTTTCCTTGCCTTGGTGACAAATATTCCTTCGATAAGTATTTTTTTAAAACTTTCTTGCATTTATTACGTCATTGATTTTTATTTCAACTACCTACCAAATTATTTATCTTATTTTATCTACGGAGCTCTATCCATTTTAGTCCTATCAACGTTTATCCATTATGTAATCACTTGTTTCTGGCCGTTTGAACTGTTGTCACAATCAATGTTGTAAAATGTTCATTCACATAAGGTATATATTTACAACATTCAGTTTATTCAATTCCTTTACACCCTTGCTATACTATACGAATGTGTCTTCAATATAACTTGCAACCAAACCCTTTCATGTAAGTAATTTAAACTCATTATGTAATTATGATTTTAAATATCACATGTTGTAGTCAGCTGACGAGGATCAATGAAATGAAATAAATTCATGCTATTCTGC